GGTTGAGGCCTGTGGGCTTTTCCTCACCCACTTTGGCATGTTCATTGTACTTGTCCTTGTTTTGCTCACATTATGTGGGTGTGTTGGTGAGATTGTAGAGACATAGTTTCTGACATTACTAGGTGTGATGGCTACTCTTGGTTGTCAACTTGACTGCATCCAGAATGAACTACAATTCAGAAATGGATGGCACATCTTTGAGAAATAATTTTTGCTTGGATAAAGGAGGTGAATCCACTTGTAGTCCAGAGCTTTGAGGTGGGAAGACACGCACCTTTAAAAATGACCTTGAGGCTGGAAGTCACACCTTTAATCTAGGCCACATCTTCTGGAAACCTATAGAAGGACAAGGAAGAATAAAGTATTTTGTCCATTGTCTGCTTGTTGGCTCATTTCTTTGCTAGCACATCCATTCCTTCACTGGCATTGAAGTCTACTTCTTTGGGATTCCAGTATATACTGAAGACCAGCTGAATCATCCGTCATTGTGGATGGAGCAACTATTGGACTTTTGGATTTTCTCTTCAAAGCTATCCATTGATGTATTAGCTGGACAGTAGCCTGTAAATTATTCCAACAAACCTATGTATACACACACACACACACACACACACACAGAGAGAGAGAGAGAGAGAGAGAGAGAGAGAGAGAGAGAGAGAGAAATTCATTCTATAAGTTCTGTTAGTCTAAAGAATCCTGACTATGCAGATTTTGGTACCAGAAGTGCTCTAGAACAACAGAAGTATAAGGATGAATTCTTTAAGTACCTGGAATATGCTTTTCAATTTAACAGCACCCTCAGATATTGAAGCCTCTCCAGTCACTCCCTCTTCTTGGAGCTTGGAGAATACTGAAAGTCCATGGTGTGAACTATATTACAAAGCTAAGGAGATAAATGCATTTTGTTATCCTGATTCATCAATTGTGAGTAGCAATGTATTTGGGGAATCTATATATAAAACTTTTGATGATTTGTGAGAAAATAAGGGAAATGATGTACCTAGTCGGTTGTTCTTAGCAACTCTGAATAAATTGATACAGGATAGAAATGAGCTCCTTGATAAAACTAACCAATTTCTATCATTTCAGATTACTGTGAAGGACATCAAAGAACTTACTGATAAAACTGACCAGCTCCAGATGCAAATAAATAGTTTAAATGTTTCTTAGTGTGAACTGGAAGGGAATCTTCTCTCCAGCAGCTATAGAGCTCAAGTTTCAGAAAATCAAACTGAAGCCCTCATTATAAGGTAGGCTGAACTACAACAAAAATTCAAATCGCAGCCTCAGTGTAGGCAGTTGAAGTAAGGGCATTAAATGGTAAAGAATGGGATCGTGTAACCTGGGGTGGGGATTGTGGAAGGACACTATTAAAGCTAAGAACTTTGACTCCTCAGATTCTCAAGGGTTTATCTTACCTGAGGAAGTAGTACCCTCAGCCCCACCCCTTGAAATATTACTTTTTCCACATTTGATGAAGAAACTAATCCTTCATTGTCTATTAAACCAGAAGTGACTTTCTCTGAAGGAAATGTCAGGCAAGATAATACTGATGTTCCTCAGGGTCCACTAATTGTTATTTCTAGACCTATAACCAAACATAGCCAAGCAGGCTCTTAGAGGGGTGGAAGTAAGTGTAGTCCATGAGGAGGTGTGCTACACTACTAAAGGGCTTAATGATTTTGCCGATTAATTCTAGCATAATTCTAGGAATATGTGTAGGAATTGGTTTTAATAGTGTGGGATAATGGTAGAAGAAATCTAAAACTAGATGAGGCTTAGTTTATCAATATCCCTCTGAGCAGAGATTCTGGGTTTAATATGGAAGCTCTCATAGTTAATCAAGGTGTCAAAAGTCTAAATGAATGATTGGCTGAAGCATTTGTCAAAAGATGGCCTACTCAAAGGGACTTGGAGATGCCTGATCTCTCTTGATTGAGGGTTAAACAAGGGATTTTAAGACTCAGAGAAATTGCAATGCTAGATGGGGTATGCTGTGTAAAACCTATTCCTCAACCATGCGAAGGCCAAGAAGAAATGCCCTTTACTAATTGTATAAAATGCAAAATGATGGAAGCAGCACCAGCACATTTGAAGAGTTTGTTGTCCCCCTTGTCCTTGTGCTGACCCTTATGATTGGAGATGCTGCTGCTCTATTGGATGAAAAAATGCACTGGGTTTAATTGGGCCCTGAGGTAGCATAGGCCACAAGGCAGCACTGAATCAATCACCACAGGAACAGTGATATTATTTATCATAATGGGTAGCATATACAAAAAAAAATGTTTATAATGTCCTAACCCTGAATGGCCAGCATATGCAAAGTGAATTTTATGGTGGTATATCTCTTTTGGACCTTTGGTACTGGCTAACCAATCATGGTCTCTTCAGGCATAAAATAGAGAAGCCTACTGAATAAGCAGAAAAATTCTTAAACAAATGAAAGAATGGCTACAATGGATTGTGACAAAAGGCATTCTAGGCCACTGAGTACATTCCAGACTTGAGCCAAATTGCAAACCCAGAAATTCTTAAAAAGGATAGTGGGGTTTCCCTGAGAAGGACCATCGCAGAATATCTAAGAAGTTTTACCGTTAGGAATTCTCCATTCCTTCCTCAAGGAGACCTATGGCTGTGCACAAGGTACCATACATTGGGAGAATCGAAATAATCCTACTTTCTGCTACTCTAGAAGTCTTGATTCTAGACAGGGGAGCATTCCTATCAGGACTGAAACAAGCATTCTATTGAAATGTAAGTGCAGACTCCCCCTGGTCACTTTGGGCTTCTAATGCCCTTAAACCAACAGGCTGAGAAAAAAGTAACTGTGGAAGACTTATTTTCACTATGTAAATATGTGTCACTGTGATTGGGTTAATAAAGAAGCTGCCTGGCCAATAGCTGGACAGGTAGAGTTTAGGTGGGAGTTGCAGAGAAGAGAGCATGAAGAAGGGAAGGAGTCTCTTGGAATTTCAAGATGCAGAGACATGAACTTTTCATACTGAGAAAAGGTACAAAGCCACATGGAAGAGTATAGATAAGAAATATGGGTTAATTTAAAATGTAAGAGTTAGCTAATAACAAGCCCGAGGTTTTGTCTGAGAATTTATAATATTAAGCCTCCTCATGGTTATTTGGGAACAGCTGTTGACACACTGTGAAACTCTGCCTAAAACTAACAACTCCTAACAGTGTTAGGAGGGATGATTGATCCATATCACCATGGGGAAATAGGACTGCCTCTACACAATGCAGTGAAGATTATGTCTGCAGTGCAGAAGATCCTTTAGGGTGTCTCTTAGTGCTACCATATTGTGTGATTAAAATCAATGGGAAACTACAATAGCCTAACACAGGAAGGTTTATAGAGGGCACAACACATCAGGAATGGAGGAATAGGTCACCTTCCAGGAAAGGAGCCAAGACTTGCCAAAGGTTAAGGAAACACAGAATGGGTAGTAGAGGAAGGTAGTTATAAATACTTAAGGCCATGTGACCAGTAACAGAAGGGAAGATTATCATTGACATTAGTGTTTCTATTGTATTTTCCTAAGAATGTTTTTGCACAGATAATTGTTTTTTTCCAATTTCTTTGTCAAGTGATGTAACATCAACTAAGAGAATTATCAATGGTTATCTGTATTTAACTTCTAGATACTAAAGTCCTGTCCACAAGAGACATTGACATCTATTCTAAATTACCAATGTGCTTGTAGTAGTATGAGAGCAAGTTATATCATGTTAGGTATAATTATGACATGGTTAAAAACATAATGCATTTGCAATTCTATTTGGTATAGTTATATTTAGCTGTTATTATGACCTGTTTATTGTCTTCAATTGGAAATTAATCATGGCATAAGGAGATATAATTGTGTGTCAAGTTGACAAGAAATGGACTTGTAATGGCTACACTTGTCTAATTCACTACATCAAACTACAATCCAGAAATAGAGGGCACACCTGTTAGAGAAGACGTTTGCTTGGTTTGCTGTGTGAGTCCACTATTAGTCCAGACATTAGAGGTAGGAAGACAAACACCTTTGATCCATATCTTGAGGTGGGAGGACACACGCCTTTGAAAACAATCACGAGGCTGGAAGATACACTTTTAATCTGAGCCATACCTTATGCTGGAAGTCTATGTAAGGGCATGGAAGAATAAACCTTTTGCCCTAGTCTTTTTAGCACATCCATTCCCTCAGTGGCACTGAAGCCTTCTTCAAGATTCCGGTATATACTGAAGATCATCAGAGAAAACCAGCATTGTGGTTGGAGCAATGACTGGACTTTGGCCACTTGTATGGTTTGACTCTAGTATGAAGATTTTTGAAGGTGAATAAAAAAATTTATCAGAGTATTTTCCTGAATGATGAATATTCTTTTATCTCTGTAATTTCAGTACTATGTAAAGGATTTGTCAAATTCAATTCATTTGGGGAGCCGAGATAGACAGTATATATTCTCGAACTTTATGTTTTCACAGAAGTATGAATTTTGTGATGTACAACACAACTAGATGTGAAAGTAAAGGTTTTGTAATTTTTTTTTGTTACTTTATTAGGATTCTTTTTGGTTGTGACAAAGAGTTTATGTAGTCCTGGCTGTCCTGGAACTCAGTATGTAGATGATGTCCTCTGACACAGAGATCTTCTTGTCTCTGCATCATGAGTGCTGGGAACAAAGGAGTGTACCACCACACCTGGCATTAGTATTAATTTTTGGATGTTGAACAAGATAAATGTTTTTATTACATTTTTTTTTTTTTACCAGGGGCTGGAGACATGGCTTAGTGGGTAAGAGCACTGGTTGCTCTCCCAAAAGACCAGTGTTCAATTCCCAAAACATGCATGGCAGTTCACAATGGTCTGTAACTCCAGCTTCAGGGGATCTGATGACCCCTTCTGTACTCTATCTCTATAAGGCATACATGTAGTGCACATACACAGTTACAGGCAGAATATACATACACATTAAAAGAAATAAAAAGCTTTTTCCACTGTTACATTGCAGAATTTTATTTTAATATAAACTCAAGGATATTTTTTTAAATTTAAAACTTCAATGACTTTCACAAGTTTCTTATCTTGCTGTTTCCATTTTGTATACTGTTGTGACTTGTAAGCAGAGAATACTAGAAAATGCAATGTCACATTATTTACAATAGTATGTTTCTCTAAAGTATGAATTTTCTAATATTTCCTAAGCTTCAAACTCTGGATAAAGGATGCATCAGTTTTTGCATTTTTATTTTTTCTCTCCATTATGGATTTTCTGATGTCTCCATAAACCAGAAGAGTAGGCAAAAGATTTGTCACATTCCTGACAACTGTAACGTCTCTCTCCAGTATTAACTCTCTGATATTTTCTAAGATTTGAGTCATGGGTAAAGGACTTCTCGTATTCCCTATGTTTGTAAAGTTTCCCCCCAGTGTGAACACTCTGATGTCTTCTAAGATTTGCTCGAAGGGTAAAGGACTTGTCACATTCCATACATTTGTAAGGTTTCTCCCCAGTATGAATTCTCCGATGTCTTGTAAGATCTGAGCAATTGGTAAAGGATTTGTCACATTCCTTACATCTGTAAGGTCTCTCTCCAGTATGAACTCTCTGATGTTTTCTAAGACTTACAATATGGATAAAGGCCATGTCACAGTCTTTACATTTGTGAAGTTTCTCTCCAGTATGACTTTTCTGATGTTCTCTAAGATATGAGCAGCTAGTATAAGACCTGTCACATTCCATACATTTATAAGGTTTCTCCCCAGTATGAACACTCTGATGTCTTTTAAGATGTGAGCAACTGGTAAACGATTTGTCACATTCCTTACAACTGTAAGGTCTCTCTCCAGTATGAACTCTCTGATGTATTTTAAGACTTGCAATATGGATATAGGACATGTCACAGTCTTTGCATTTGTGAAGTTTCTCTCCAGTATGAATTTTCTGATGTGTCCTTAAACCAGAAGATTGTGCAAAAGATTTGTCACATTCCTGACAACTGTAAGGTCTCTCTCCAGTATGAACTCTGTGATGTGTTTTAAGATGTGAGTCCCGGTTAAAGGATTTATCACATTCCATACATTTGTAAGGTTTCTCCCCAGTATGAATTTTCTGATGTCTTCTAAGGGTTGAGTTCAAGGTAAAGGATTTGTCACATACCTCACATTGGTAAGGTTTTTCACCAGTATGGATTATGTAATGCCTGTTAAGAAGTGATAATTTAGGGAAGGATCTGTCACAGTCACTGCACTTGTAAAGCTTCTCTCCATTGAGTCTGTAATGCCTTCTAAAATGTGAAAGCTGATGAAAGACCTTGCCACATTCTCTATAAGTATAATGTCTCCCAGCAGTATGCATTTTTTGATGTTTCTTTAGAGTAGAAGAGTGGGCAAAGGATTTGTCACATTCCTTACATTTGTAAGGTTTCTCTCCAGTATGCCTTTTCTGGTGGCTTTTAAGTGCTGACAACTGACAAAATGACTTTCCAAATTCTTCGAATTTGTAAGGTTTCTCCCCAGTAAGAAGTCTTTGATGTATTTGAAGACTTGAAATCTGGGTAAAGGATTTTTCACAAACGTTGCACTTGTAGGGTTTAATTCCAGTATGAATTCTCTCATGTTCCGTGAGGCCTGAGGCAGTACTGAAGCACTTCCTGCATTCCCCACAATGATACGGTTTCTCACCAATGTAGATTGGGTTTTTTTGCAAAAAATTGTATGAAGAGCTGAAATAGTCATCATATTCTCCCTGCCTGTGCCCTTTCTTTGCAGTGTAGAGTCTCTGATCTTGAGCAATGTTAGAATACAAATTTAAGGATTTCTCATAGTTTTTTAACTTGCAAGGTTCTTCTCCAGTGTGCATGCTTTCATATCTATCTGGATTTGATGAGTCAATAGAGGCATCCCTGTGATTATTGTATCTTGAGTTATTAGAGTTTCCTGTAGTTTCACCTGTTTTATAAAGTGCACATATGGAGGGGTCATGAAGCACTTTGCCAAGTTCATTACACTGATAAGACTCCTTTTTAGTCTTCACCCGTTGATGGACAGGATTACATTTGCAATAGTTCTCTGAAAATGAGTATAGTTCAGATTAATAGGGCTTGTTCCAATAATAAACATGTGATAAATGACTGTCTCCCCAAGTTCTCTTTTAACATAAGTCAACATGGAACTATTTAGATTAGAGCTCCCAGTAGTGGACATTTTCATTCACTGAATTGTATGGATTTTCACAAAAATGGCATGACAGCCTCCAAAGGTCAGTGGTTTATAACAGATATCTCATCTTTATCAGAAATTTCTAACTGGGAAACAAATGGAAAAAAATAATTAAGGCTTGTGAATTAGCTTTGGGATAGAGCTCACAGAGATTATAGTTAGAATACATGTCTCTATCTTTAAATATTTCTTCTCAGAAATTGATGAAAAGGAGTTTAATCTAATCCCAAGTTAACGGTATTTATACTTAACTAAGTGATAGGCAATGAAGAATACTGTTCAGAAGACTCAATTCCTTTTAAGATTAAAGTCTTACTTAAAAGCATCAAAAAGTTTATTATTATTATTTTTTCTAAAGCAAGGCATTAGATTCTAGAAAAGTAATGGATGCAAAGACAGTATTCGGCCAGACACCAGAGGCTCTAGATCGTTTGAGGCAGGGCTGTCATGGGCAGCTATTGTTTTTTTCTATCCTCCACTGTCTGAGATCCACACACTGCTGTGTTTCTTAATTTTCCTCATAGGGTTATTCTCAAGTCCACTCTGTACATAGACTCATGAGATTATTTCCCAGAAGAAAGTGAAGGATGTAATATGAAGATATGCGTACAAGGAAGGCAATTACAGAATAATCCTACTGCATGGACTCACGTTAGACTTAAAATTTTGTAAAATTATTCCAATCTGTTTTCAGCAGAATAAAATAAAACTGTACTTTGTACTAATATTAAGTCACTATAATTCTTGTGTAATAAGACACAACGCCTTCTAATAGTTATTACAACAGACCGATACATCCTGGGGCAGGATACTACACTAAGTTAAATGATGAGGAATCCTTTCAAGTGGAATTGAATATCACAAAACCATTTCTCTTTCACCTGAAGTCTTCACAGTTCTCTTGTTCATTCACGAGCCCACCCTAGTTGTGGCTACTCTCTCCTCTCCACATTCCAGGGCAATCTCATTCTTTCCAGACAGGTGATCACGCCTACCTCTAACACATAATCCACATGTTCTTTGAGGCAGCCCATGACCCATGCTAGAACTTTTAGAAAGAATACAGAAGTCTAAGACAGTACTACACTCAGTATATGAGAACACAAAACAGAGGAATTTAGGCAAGATTTCTTGACTGATATTTCTTCTCAAATTATTCAGTATATTTAGTATTTTTGGTTTGTGTATCTTGAACTTTTCTCAAAATTAAAACCATGTCAACAGTGATAATGGATATGGAGCTTTAAGATATGAGTGGAGCCGGGCGGTGGTGGCACACGCCTTTAATCCCAGCACTCGGGAGGCAGAGCCAGGCGGATCTCTGTGAGTTCGAGGCCAGCCTGGGCTACCAAGTGAGTCCCAGGAAAGGCGCAAAGCTACACAGAGAAACCCTGTCTCGAAAAACCAAAAAAAAAAAAAAAAAAAAGATATGAGTGGAAATATTATATGCTACTGAGTTTATGGATGAATCTTAGAACCAAAATAAAGGGTGGATGATACCTTGAAATGGAAAATGGAAAGAAAAAAGGAAATTGCATGAAATAGTTCTTTCCTACCACTAAACTTTGCCTGGTCTCCTGTTGGTTTTTTTCAGGACAACTTAACAGATTTTACATCCTATGAAGTCAACAAACAAAAGATGGGTTAAGAATTCTACAAGCAAAATGTTCTCACCCACAAAGACCATGTTGTTGTAATTCTCCAACATCACATCAATGTACAAAGACCGCTGAGCAAAGTCCAGGCATTCCCACTCCTCCTGGGAGAAGTCAATAGTCACATCCCTGAATGTCAACAGGTTCTGAAATGAAAAAGTATGGTCTGACCACATGATACCTGGAATTCTTTCCCAGAAATAAGGAGACAGAATGTAGATGAGTGAAGATAATTACTCAAAATGTGATTTCCAATACTGTCACATTCTATCATGAATGTTCTAACTCTGTGAAAACAGAATGAAACGATAGTCTTACAAGCAGTATACATGAAACAGAAAATACATTTAAGGTCTGGACTTGGTTAACTATTTGTTATTGGATAGTGTGTTTGTTACACAGGATCACAGGGGACATGTCTCAGGAGGAAAATTCATGATGAGGAAATGTGCTTTAACTGCTGTTACTGTAGATCATTCTAAAAGACTGACACAAATCAATCCTGTGTGTACTTGGGCCTTACATGACTCTATTATAACAGACTCAGTTGGGATGTTTAAACTCTAGGTCCAATGCCACATCATCAAATAGCAAAGGGGTAGGTATGGAAGACAGAATATATGACTGATTTTATAGACAAATAGTTTTGTTTTTTTTTTTCAACATTAGCAAGGATTGCAATAGCACTACATACTGTCAATTTTAACATTAACATATAAGTGTTCTATGGAATTAATTTTATGAGAATCTGTGGGCCACTACGAACAGATACAGCAATCTGCATCAGCTATATTTGATATCATCCAAAATTTCCATAAGAATATGCATAAACCAACAGATACAATTAACAATTTCAGAAGTTTTGAAAAATATTTCATTTTTCTCCCAAAGAGTAATAAATATTGAGGGAAGTCCAAGAACACATCAAAAAATGTTTAAGGTATAGATAAGAGAATCTGTACCAGTGACACTTTGGATAAAGTATTTACCAAAAAATTTAAAATATTACCAAGAATTTGCCAAAAATTAAATTCATTAAATACCAAGAAAATAAAACTGCAAATCAACAAATGGCCAAAGAACTAAATAGACACTTTTCAAAGTCAGAAATTCAAATGGCCAATAAAGATTACAAAATCATTCAGGATCCCAAAAGACAACTGTGGAAAAACAAATTAAAAGTATTTGGAAAGACTGCCTACCCCAAGCTGAATAGCTGCCATCAACTAACCTGCCAACAAATGTTTGCGGGGATATGGAGAGAAAGGCAGCCTTATTCACTGTTGATAGAGAGCAGGGTGCAAATTAATACAGCCATAGTGGCAATCAGTTTGGAAATTATCAAAGAAACTGAAAGAGAACTAACAAATGACCAAGTTCTTTCCCTCCTGGCCATAAACCCAGAGAACAACCCACCCCACAACAGACATATTTATACTCCATGATTACTGCTGTTTTAATCACCAAAGAAAAATTATTGGAATCAAACTAATTATCTGTTAATAGATAAACAGATGAATGGATAATGAAAACTGTATAAAATGGAAGACAATTCTGCTAGAGAAAAAAATAGAGTAAAAATTTGCATGAAAATGGATGGATGCAAAATGTGTGTAATATTAAGTGTAGTCATATACTTTTAGAGAAAAGACACCACGTTTTCACTCATATGCAGAATCCACCCAGTAATAAATGTATGTAGAATCAATGTATAGGTGGACACAGTATAACATGGACAAAAGAGAACAGGAAAGGTTAAATTATCAGGGACTAAATGCAGGCAATGAACACCAGTTATGAAAAAGGATATAAAGCTAAGTGCTCTTCTAGTTCTAATTCTGTCAAAGGTGTTCGGGGTTTTGGGGGTGGATAAGGAAATCAAAATATATTCAATTATGAAAATATAACATCCCATGTGAGGCTCCAGAGCTTCTTTTCTCTATAATGACTGTAAATGTATTAAAGGGCATCGAGTTGTATAGTCTTTGGGACTGCTTAATTTCATTGTGTGATTTTGTTGTTTTTCTGTTTGCAGAATTGCTCATAATAAAATTTTTAAAAACTATCAGAAGCAGATAATTAAAGGCTTTTAATACATCAAAGTATAACAGATTTAGATAATGAGTGGAAACGACCACTGACCTGCGACATGTTTACTGGAGAATCAGCCATTTCTAACTGTTTCTCTTCTTTGAGTTTCTCTTTCAGGAACAATGAAGAGATGGTTGCTTCCCTTTCAAATCAAGGGGTCTAAAAGGAAGAGTTAAAATTATACTGTTTAAAGAACAATGTCAAACCACATGAAAGACCCAAGCAACAGATTGCTACTGGGTGTCCAATCAATGATTCCAAAGCCAGGAGAGCATGAAAAGACATTGGAAGCTTGAAGAGAAAAATCACTATCAAGCATCTTGTTGCACAAAGAAAATTACTCTCTTAAAATTGATGGACACATAAGTGCATTTCAAGGTAGTCACCAATTAACACAAAATTGATTTCACTAAAGCAGCACTCACGTAATAAATTAGAGGCAAAATATACACAGCAGAGTCTGAGGAATCATCAATTAGAACATGGGAAATAATAAATTTCACGTGAGGAATAGAGAAATACAGGAGAACTGTGAAGTAATCATACATGAGCAAGACAGCAAACCACTATTTCTCAAAAAGAAGAATACTACCAATAATCCAACCAGCAACGACATAAAATTAAACCATAGGAAATTAAAATGCCATAAAAAACTAGCCACACTAAAAATAAAAATAGAGAATCCTCAACTAAATAAACAAACCTTGAAGCTAAATAAATTCAGCACATAACCCAGCTGTTCCTTTCCTTGGTATAAGCTCAAGGGACTGGACATCCTACTCCATAGACACTTGCTCACCCAAGTTCATTGCTGCTCTATTCACAATAGTTACAAAATGGCAACAACCTAAATGTCCTTCACCTGACAAATGGATAGTGAAAGTGTGGCACATATACGCTATGGAATACTATTCAGCTGTGAAGTAAATTAAAATCATGAGCTTTGCAAGTAAATGAATGGACCCAGAAAAGATCATATTGAGTGAGGTAATCCATACCCAGGGAGACAGACATTGCAATGATCATAGAAGTTCCTAGCTCCAAATCCTCAGATGTGAGTACACAACCTGGAGTGACTGCAGTAACCAGAAAAGTAAGAGATCACTGTGGGTTGTCGGAGAGTAACAGAGATGGAGTAACAGGGAACAAGTGTCTGAAGGGGGAAATGGAAAAAAGAAAAAGGGGGGTGAGGATTTAACTATGGAGCAGGGACAGATATGAACACAGAAGGAGGGTAAAATAACAGTAAGCATGTCTGTAAAATTCAGAAGGAATCCATCTATTTCTTGACTATTATCCATCCATCAAAAAATGCCTATAATACATCTAAGTCTGTGTAAGCATATACATTTAGAGTATAAATAAAAATTTCCCAACTGGATTGATGATGCTCCTCACAAGAGCCATAGAATTTCTAACAAAATGACCAACACCAGGGGTAAAAAGCCTGCTTTGGGGCCATTGGGCTGGGCCCCCCGGGAAGGTTCCCCTTTTCCAAGATCCCCCTGGAAGACCCTGCAGTCTACACCCCACACACTTCCTGAGAATTGGAGACCAGCCCCCAGCGCCCATCTGGACCAGTGGTGAGTGCCTGGGGTCATACTCTGAGAAGCCTGCCCCTAGGTCCCATCCCTGGGAACCAGCCGTTCTGGGGAAGACATGCCCAACTTGGCCCCAGTTTCCGGTCATCTAGCTGAGCCCCCGGGAAGGTTCCCCTTCTCTAAGACCCCCAGCAGACCCTGCAGTCCACACGCCCTGCCCCCAAATCCATCCGCCCGAGATCCCCCCCTACTTCCTGAGAATTGGAGACCAGCCCCCAGCGCCCATCTGAAACCAGAGGTGAGTGCCTGGGGTCATACTCTGAGAGGCCTGCCCCAGGTCCCATCCCTAGTCACCAGCCATTCTGGGGAAGACCTGCCCAACTTGGCCCCAGTTTCTGGCCATTGGGCGGGGGCCCTGAGAGGGTACCCCTTCTCGAAGACCCCCAGCAGACCCTGCAGTCTACAGGCCCTGCCCATCCAACGGAGACACCTCCCCACCCCTCCCCCACCCCCCCCCACCCCCCCACCCCCACCCCACCCCCCCCACCCCCCCCCCACCCCCCGCCAACTTCCTGAGAATTGGAGACCAGCCCCTAGCACCCATCTGGACCAGAGAGGCTTCCTGAAATGCCAAAGCTCTGTATGAACCAAGAGCACTGATAAGACCAAGAACAAATCCATGAGGAGATGGGCATACGTCAAGGCAGAAGTACATACAACAAAAAAAAGGGCAATACAGCAACACCAGAACCTAGCCCTCCTCCAACAGCAAGACCTGAACATCACAAAATGGAAGAAGCAGAAAAAAGCAACCTTAAGAATAACATCATGAAGATGCTAGAGGCCTACAAAGAAAAAAATCAAAAATGAAATTGAGGAACAGACAAACAAAAAATGGGAAGAATGCTATAAAAAAAAACTAGAAGAAAAGAAATAAAACAGAAGAAAATAATAAATCCATGAAAGAAAACAATGAAAAAGCAATGAAACAGATGAGGGAAACAGTCCAAGACCTGAAAAGGAAAAGAGAAAAAATGAAGACACAAACAGAGGGAATGCTGGAAATACAAAATCTGAGTAAACGAACAGGAACTACAGATGCAAGTATAACCAACAGAATGCAAGAGATGGAAGAGAGGATCTCTGGCGTTGAAGATACAGTTGAAGAAATAGATTCATCAGTCAAAGAAAACACTAAAGCCAACAAAGTCATGACCCAAAATGTCCAGGAAATTTGGGAAACCACGAAAAGACCAAACCTAAGAATAATAGGGGTCGAAGAAGGAGAAGAATACCAACTCAAAGGCACAGAAAATATATTCAACAAGATCATAGAAGAAAACTCCCAACTTAAGGAAATGCCTATGAAGATACAAGAAGCCTATAGAACACCAAACAGACTAGACCCCCCAAAGAAATCCCCTCGCCACATAATAATTAAACAACTAAACGTACAGAATAAAGAAAGGATATTAAGAGCAGCAAAGGAAAAAGGCCAAGTGACTTATAAAGGCAAACCCATCCGAATAATACCCAATTTCTCAATGGAGACTTTGAAAGCCAGAAGGATCTGGACAGATGTAATGCAGACACTCAGAGACCATGGATGCCAGCCTAGACTAATAAACCCAGCAAAACTTTCAATCATCATAGATGGAGTGAACAAGACATTCCAAGACGGAGTCAGATTTAAACAATACTTATCTAAAACCCCAGACCTACAGAAAGCACTAGAAGGAAAATTCCAACCTAAGGAAGTCAGATACACCCTTGAAAACACAGGCAACAGATAACACCATAGCAGTAAACCCCAAAAAAGAGAAGCACACACATTCTACTACCAAAAAAACAGGAATGGACAATCACTGGTCATTAATATCCCTTAATATCAATGGACTTAATTCACCTATAAAAAGACACAGGCTTACAGAATGGATACGAAAGCAGGACCCATCTTTCTGCTGCATATAAGAAACACACCTCAAATTCAAAGATAGACACTACCTAAGAATAAAAGGCTGGGAAAAGACTTTCCAATCAAACGGTCTTAAGAAGCAAGCAGGTGTAGCCATCCTAATATCCAGCAAAATAGACTTCAAACTAAAATCAATCAAAAGAGATCAAGAAGGGCATTACATACTCATCACAGGAAAGATCCACCAAGATGAAATTTCAATTCTGAACATTTATGCCCCAAACACAAGGGTACTCACATATGTAAAAGAAACACTACTAAAGCTTAAATCACATATAAAATCCCACACATTAGTAGTGGGAGACCTCAACACCCCACTTTCACCACTGGACAGATCTCCCAAATCGAAACTTAACAGAGAAATAAAGGACTTAACTGATGTTATGTCTCAAATGGACTTAATCGATATCTACAGAACATTCCATCCTAACAAAAAAGAATATACCTTCTTCTCAGCACCCCATGGAACCTTCTCTAAAATCGACCACATACTTGGCCACAAAGCAAATGTCAACAGATACAAAACAATTGGAATAACCTCCTGCGTTCTATCAGACCACCATGGCTTAAAGTTGGATTTCAACAACAACAAAAACTACAGAAAGCCTACAATCTCATGGAAACTGAATAATGCTCAACTGAATCACCAATGGTTAATGAAGAAATAAAGAAATTAAAGACTTCCTAGAATTCAATGAAAACAAATATACCACATACCCAAACTTATGGGACACCATGTGCCCCACCTGCAGGGCTTCAACGGTTTCTCGACCACCCTAAGGACGGAATGATAGAGACAGGAGATACAAGGAAATACACCAAGTCTAGATTCTGATCAAGGTGCAACTTTATTTTTCTCCAAGAGGGTTTATATAGTTCCTGCAGGGTGAGGGGAGCAAGAAGCTGTCATCTGCATAAGGTGGGACAAGCTAACAGGATGTTTGTATAGGATGTTTACAGTGTGAAAGGGTCAAAGGCTCTGCCTCAATGTCCTGTTGCTAGGCAACCTGACTGTAAGATGATCTAGTTGCCTGTCATTAGAGATTCTGTCCTTGTCCCTGACATCTGCCCCTTCTTAGTAATAAATCTAAGGGCCAACATAAACCAGGTTCGAATCGTCTAAAAGGAGGGCTCTGAAAGAGGCTTTGCATGGAGGATTACAGAGGCCCTATCCCTCTAAAGGTTGTGAAAAAAGGGTCCGAGAGGGAATGTCTCTCCAGACTCAAGCACCACAGGCGTCCCCATAGTGCAGGAATCAATGGACCGTGCAGTTTTTTGAGGGAGCGGAAATGGTTAAGCGCAAGGCTGCAACTGCACACCCGCTATGCAACAGGGCATATAATCCAGGCTCTCGGGATTTTGGGGTACCATGGTCCCCAGCCTGTGCAGTCCCAGCTGCACTCCAATCATGCCTTGAGTGAGCCTTTTTCCCACACACAGGTGCAGCCTCCCCTGAGTGAAGGGGTCTGTGTGGGGCATCTCTCGTCAGGGGAAATTTCAACCCTGGAGTCCTGAATATCAAAGCAGTGGTAATGAACCTGGATCTGCCTGGCCGGCAGGTCTGTTCTTTGGCTTTGGATGAACCCAGTGAGCCAGGAAAGTGCCCATGGCCCAAAGGCAAGGACCAGGAGCAGCAGGCCTACAACAGGTCCTAGGAGGGAGGGAAGAAGGGTTGTTAGCTAAGGGAAGTTGGAAAACCAATTCTAGAACCACCCAAGCTCTTTTTCCTTTTTTTTTTTTTTTTTTTTTTTAAGTCCTTTTTCTAACCTACCATACTGTCCCTGACTACCCCGGTGTGGTCTGTAAAGAAGCAACATTCCTCTCTGAGCCCAGTACAAAGGCCACCCTGTTGTAGAAAGAGGAGGTCCAGGCCTCTCCTGTTCTGTAAAACTACCTCAGCTAGGGAGGAAAGGGATGACTCAAGGGCAGAAATTCCCTGTTCAAATTGGGCAATATCCTCGTCTATGGACAGTCAAAGCTCAGAGTAATGTTGGTTGGACAGGACCAGAGAGGCAATTCCTGTGCCTGTTCCCGTTGCTCCAACCCCCAAAAGGACTGCTAAGGTGATGGCAGTAACAGGCTCCCATCAAGGCAGTCGTCTCAGCGCGGCTTCTCTTCCTAGAGATCTAGGAATTGATCTGAGGAATAATAGGTTAGTCTAGGTGGAAGGGACCTAAGTGCCCTGAGTGGCATCTCTGGTGCTACCCTGTTTGCTATGCTACCTGCCAGCCACAGGCTGTGTCAAGCTGGCCCAACATGGCTATGACCACCTGTGACACCAAGGCCAGCAGGTCAGACAAGTCTTTCTGACACCTTGGATGAAAATTCAGCACTGTCCTTGGAAACATGACCCCTGCTGTCAGACTGGATTTGTGACAAGCAGTGTCCCTGCTCAGCCCAGAACATGATTGACCATGGGACTTGTATACTGTGTGAAAGGTCTCAAACACAGTTTGCTGTAAAGTTCCCACTGTCCCCCCCACAGGAACTCTGAGCAGAGTGATAACAGAGCTAAAAGGCTGGTGGGGGTTGTCGTGGGCGAGGACAACAGCCTGGAGGGCTTGCCGGAGGGACAGCATTTGAAACAGAAGAAGTTTCCTCAGGAGAGGGGCTATCTCTCCTGGGCAGATCAGGTATATTTACAGCTCTAACCAGGCGTTCTGGTAACCATCTGGGAGCAGAGTGTATCTGGTCAAGAATGCAGACCGAACCTCGTCCCCATATAAGGACCGGGTCGGGGCCCTTCCAACGCCCTGTGAGGGGATCTCGTCACATGGCTAGTGGCCGGGTGGCATCTGGAGAAGGGTGCCAGTGCCTGTCAGCGGCAGAGTGCCCTGCAGCATCTAAGGTGAGAAAGTTGAGAACAAACAGAGCATTGCTCAATTGATCTCTGGGGGAGGTAAAATGAAGGTTAGAAGACTTGAGGCGAGCCAAGCATGTCTTTAGGGTCTGGGGGGCTCGTTCTATTATGCCCTGTCCCTGGGATTGTAAGGTATCCCTGTGGTATGAATAATTTGTAGACTATCACAAAATTTTTTGAAGCCTGTGATGGTATAAGCAGGGCCATTGTCTGTCTTTATCTTAGCTGGTTTTCCCAAGGCAGAAAAGGCAAGAATCAGGTGAGAAAGAACATCCTTTGTGGCTTCCCCAGCATGAGGAGAGGCGAAGATAAAGCCACTAAAGATATCTATAGAGACATGGATAAATTTTTGTCTGCCGAATTCGGGGCAATGAGTAACATCTGTCTGCCAGATTTGGTTGGGAAGGAGGCCTCGAGGGTTGACTCCCAAGTGAGGGGCAGGGTGAGAAACAACACAAGAGGGACACTGTTTGACAATTTCTCGGGCCTGTTGTTTAGAGATCTTAAAAAGAAGATGGAGGGTCTGAGAATTTAAATGGTGGATGTTATGGGCAGTTTGGGTCTGTAGGACTGAGCCGACCATGACAGGGAAAGTTAGCCTGGTGGCGGCATCTGCCTGTGCACTGTCATCGGTTAACGGTCCAGGAAGATCACTATGGGCTCTAATATGACCTATAAAAAATGGGTGTTGGTGAGTCAGGACAAGCTGTTGAATCTGGGAGAAAAGTGGGGTGGCGTTGGAGGTAGGCCTTATGGCTGGAGAGGTTTCTAACAAGGGGATGGAAAAGGCAATATAGGCACTATCTGTATAGATATTAGTAGGTTGATCAGAATAGGTCTGAAAAACCTTTAAAATTGCTGAAAGTTCAACCAACTGTGCTGACCGGAAAGGCGTTAGGAAGGAGGTAGGGCAGCCTTGGGCCACAAAGGCTGCAACACCATTAGCAGAACCATCGGTAAAGACTGTAAGTGCATGAGAAATGGGACCAGTTTTTGTAATTTTTGGAAAGATGAAGGGATGTAGCAGGGCAAAATGGAGCAAGAGGTCATCTGGGAGGTGATTATCCAAGGTCCCTGTAAACCCTGCCAAGGCAACCCCCCACTTATCTAAGGTTTGGAACAAAAACTGAGTTTGATCCTTAAAAGAGGTTGTGAGTATGATATCAGGGTCCTTACCAAAATATTGGCGAGAGGTCTGTCGTCCTTTCATAATGAGTGAGGCCACCTGTTCGGGGTAGACGGAAATGACTCTCGAAAGGGCAGCGGACATGTGGACCCAGAGGAGTATCTTGCCTTTAAGTTTTGGTTCTTGAGCATGTTGCCAAAAGACTCCTGTGGGTGTGTGTGGTGTGGGCAGAACTATAAAATACAGAGGTATGGCATAGGAAATCTGAAAGCAAGACTGTTGGTTAATGGCAATGGCTATCTGAATCAAAGCCTCGTTGGCTGCAGGGGAAAAGCACACGGGGTGATGTGGGGTCAGGGTCGCCCCGAGGATCTCGTAGAGGGGAAGGAGAGAATCCGTAGGAAGTTTAAGATGAAGCCTAAGCCATTGGATATGGCCGAGCAATTGCTGGAAATCATTTAGGGTATGGAGATGGTCAGTGCGTAACTGGACGCGAGGAACGAGGACCCGGTTTGAATGGAGTTCCAACCCCAGGTAATTGAAATGGTCCACAAAAATGGGAAGACGAGAAACATAGGGAGGGGGCGTTGTGGAAGGGGGAACTGCCGGAGATTTTTGAGGTGGTATAAAAGGGCCCAAGGACTCCTATGTTAAGGGGAGATTTTTGCAGGGGGGCCAGTCTGGATTATGGTAACGGGCCGCCCTTCTCTAGGGAAGCCTCCTCGGTGGGGTCTAAGGGGAGTTAGAGGTCAAATTATTAACAGGGATGAGGATGGGCAAAAGTGGACTCCTGGGCACTGTTAGGTTTAAAAGTCGTGAGCATCCCCTCTTCCATAGAGCGCAGGTCGTGAACCGAGGGACAGACTGAAGGCGGACCAGAAAGGGCTCGGGGGTCTTAGGGCAGGTAGAGGGGGAGCAAAAGGCTTCTTTGAAGATTTTTTTTCTCCTACATTAATAAGCTCTTGTATGTCAGGAATATTTATAGACCCTGAGAATGTCAATAATCAACAAAGGCTTTAAGGTCTTTTATCTTTACCCTAGTTCCTTGTATCTTGAGGGGCTCATTTAGGCCAGAAATAAATAAATCTCGTGACGAAGTTGCCTGTCCCATGGCTCGTCACTTTCTTACCTGCATCGTCTCCTCCGGGATCGCGTCCTGAACCAGGCGATTTCAGGGGGATCCAACAACTTCACCAAGGCCTTGGTCTTCCTCCGGGAGACGACGTTCCGAATCCTCAAGAGGTGGTTTCATCCACGTTGGGCGCCAGTTTGCCCCGCCTGCACGGCTTCAACAGGTTTTTGACCACCCTAAGGACGGAATGATAGAGACAGGAGATACAAGGAAATACACCAAGTCTAGATTCTGATCAAGGTGCAACTTTATTTTTCTCCAAGAGGGTTTATACAGTTCCTGCAGGGTGGGGGGAGCAAGAAGCTGTCATCTGCATAAGGTGGGGCAAGCTAACAGGATGTTTGTATAGGATGTTTACAGGGTGAAAGGGTCAAGGGCTCTGCCTCAATGTCCTGTTGCTAGGCAACCTGACTGTAAGATGATCTAGTTGCCTGTCCTTAGAGATTCTGTCCTTGTCCCTGACAACCTAAGAGGGAAATTCATAGCACTAAATGCCTACATAAAGAAATTGGAGAAATCTCACATTAGTGACTTAACAGTACATCTGAAAGCTCTAGAACAAGAAGAAGCAAACTCACCCAGGAAGAATAGACGCCAGGAAATAATCAAATTGAGAGCTGAAATCAATAAAATAGAAACAAAGAGAACAATACAAAAAATTAATGAAACAAAGAGTTGATTCTTTGAGAAAAATGGACAAGATAGACAAGTCCTTATCCAAACTAATCAAAAGACAGAGAGAGAGCATCCAAATTAACAAAATCAGAAATGAAAAGGGGGACATAACAGACAATGAGGAAATCCAGAGAATCATCAGGTCATACTTCAAAAACCTCTACTCCACAAAACTGGAAAATCTAAAAGAAATGGATAATTTTCTGGATAGGAACCAATACCTAAGTTAAATCAAGACTAGATAAACTATTTAAATAGTCCAATAACCACTAAGGAAATAGAATCAGTCATTAAAAGTCTCCCAACCAAAAAAGCCCAGGACCAGATGGTTTCAGCACAGAATTCTACCAGATCTTCAAAGAAGAGTTAATACCAATACTCTTTAAATTGTTCCACACAATAGAAGCAGAAGGAACATTACCAAACTCCTTCTATGAGGCTACAATTACCCTGATTCCTAAACCAAACAAGGATACAACAACAAAGGAGAACTACAGACCGATCTCCCTCATGAACATTGATGCAAAAATACTCAATAAAACACGGGCAAACAGACACCAAGAACACATCAAAACAATTATCTACCATGATCAAGTAGGCTTCATCCAGGGATGCAAGGGTGGTTCAACATACGAAGGTCCGTCAATGTAATACACCATATAAACAAACTCAAAGAAAAAAACCACATGATCATCTCACTAGATGCAGAAAAGGCATTTGACAAAATCCAATACCCCTTCATGATAAAAGTCTTGGAGCGATCAGGAATACAGGGAACATACCTAAACATAATAAAGGCAATTTACAACAAGCCAACAGCCAACATCAAATTAAATGGAGAGAAACTCAAACTCAAAGCGATTCCACTAAAATCAGGAACAAGGCAAGGCTGTCCGCTCTCCCCATACTCTGGGTTCCAGAACAGCGTGTGTCAGCTCCCACCAGTCCTGTGGTATAATCCTATTATAAGCTGACCAGGTGTTTAACATTTGCTTTACATATGGGGAATGCATGCCATAAGATACTATTGCTTCCTTAAACCTTCGTAAATCTAACATTTCAATTGGAGCCCAAATATTTTGTGTATTCATTTGATCAGGTAACTGCTGTACGGTTACCGGATAAATTAAGGATGACTGTGTGAAAACAGGCTTTCTTTCTGTAACCTTATGATCCAATCTTGAAACAACTTCACTGTTAATTTCTTCCGTCTGAATTTGAATTTCTCTATAATTCATTTTAACAGCTTTTTCTAAAACTTTTATCCTGGCACTTAAATTGACTATCTTTTAAAATAGTAAAATGAGGATAAGAAAAGTAATAAAGTGCATAATTTGATCAACATTAATCTTCTCATATAGTTGTTCCATTGTCAGACTGCCTAAAATTTCAAACAAAGCCCAATTTTCTTCCAATGTACACAGAAAACCCTTTTTTAAAAAATGTGGGGAAAAAAATCTCTTTTAAATAGTTTCCTTTAAAATATCTGATATCTTAATTGACTTACCAAGTCTACGTAGAACAGTAGAAATTGGAGGAAATTTCAAAACAGCCACCTAGTGTTTGAGGTGTGAATCCAAAGAGAGAGAGAGAGAGAGAGAGAGAGAGAGAGAGAGAGAGAGAGAGAGAGAGAGAGAGAGAACAAGAAAGCATAGCCACAAGTTCTGGCTAAAGCTTAAATCCAGCCACATGTTCCCACTTGAGCCGAGTCAAGCCTTGGCTCAGGCTTCCTTAAGCTCCAACCACGTGCGTTGGCTTTACAGCTAGGGGCCCTGTTCGGCAGGGCAGGCCTGAGTTTTTTGTAGCACCGGCTTTAAGCAAGTAGCTCCAGCTGCGTGCAACTGCTTGGGGCTACGGTCAGTCCGGCCTGAGACCAAGCCGACCTGGGCCCGAGCTAGGGAGCCGGGCCGCCCAGGCGGGAAACCGGACCTGCCGCCAAGCCAAGCGGTTTTTTTTTTTTTTTTTTTTTTTGGTTTTTTCGAGACAGGGTTTCTCTGTGTAGCTTTGCGCCTTTCCTGGATCTCGCTCTGTAGACCAGGCTGGCCTCGAAATCACAGAGATCCGCCTGCCTCTGCCTCCCGAGTGCTGGGATTAAAGGCGTGCACCACCACCGCCCGGCTAAGCCAAGCGGTTTTTAATGGACTCTTGCCACATGGGCGCCAAATGTAGATGTAACCGTCTTATTCAATAAGAAACACAGAACCAATGAAAAGATGAAAGCCCAAGAGGTCAGAGCTAAGAGCCTTACCCTTCACTCTCGTGGTGGTCCTACCTTTCCGAAAGAGACCTACTTCCTGTGTGTCTTTTTATAGTGTTTCTGTTCTGCCTTCTCATTGGTTGTAAACCCAACCACATGACCTCTTAGTCAATGCCAGTCTGTACAGACCTCCAGGTCTCATATAGTTGGTATTGAGATTAAAGGCATGTGTCTCCAATGCTGGCTATATCCTTGAACACACAGAGATCTACCTAGCTCTGCCTACCAAGTGCTGGGATTAAAGGCGTGCACCACCACCGCCCAGTTTCTGCTATGGTTTGCTAATAGCTCTGATCCCGGGCAACTTTATTTATTAACATACAAATCACATTTTAGTACAAATAAAATATCACCATAATAAGTGAGTTATCGTAATTATTCAAAAGATGCTTTCTTATATCATTCTGTACTATAATGCATTTAATTTTTTTTTGTTTTCTATTTTTCCCTGAAGCAGGGTATTTTCTGTGCAGTGCTGGCTGTCCTTGATGTCACTATGAACACCTTGCCAGCCTCCAACAGACTGTGATCCACCTGCCTCTGCCTTCTGAGTGTTGGGATTAAAGGCCTGGCAAAGACACTTTTCAGAATGCTGTATTTACATCCCAGTGTGCATATGTCTCAGATGGAAAATTTATGGTGGATAAAAGTTTATTGTTAAAAGTTAATGCTTACAAGTAAACTGTGGAACTCGCAAAAAAAAATACTTTCAGATTCAATGAAATTTGCAAGCGTTCCTTTTAAGACTATAATCTATAATCTAAGAAATCGCTCTGTGCGAATTGAGTCTCCAGTTAAATGTGCCACTCTTGAACAGAGAAGTGGTATAACACTTAGTAAGTTAGTACGGATGGCTGCAAATTTCAAGAGCGATGTCGTTTCCACCACAGCAAAGAGAATCAAGCTTGCAAATCTCGAGAGAAATTCAGATATTCCATTAGGTTATTCTTACAAAAATATTTTGGCAATCAGAAGATCAACTGAAATAAATAGTTTTATTCCATATGATCTGAAATATACCAAGAAAAAGATGTCCACAGCAGAACTTCAGATCTGGCTTCCTTATGAACAGCAGAGAAACTGCTCGCATCCCCTGGTCCCTCCCCTCCCGTGTCCCAGCCCCGCAGCTCCTCTGACCTGGGAGGTTCCAGGGCCGCCGGGCTGCGGTTCCCGCCACTGCGCTGCTGACTGGTGACTTTCCCAGGCCGCCCCGCGCGGAGACTGCGGCTCCGGGGAGGTTTCGTGTCCCCGCGACACCCCGCCGTGTCCTCCGCACCCTGATCTGCACCATGAGATTCCCCACTGTGCAGGACCCCAGCAAAAACCGGGAATGGACCCTTAGTACTGCTGACTTTGGCTCCTTCTAACTTCTCCAGGATCACACTGTGTCCCAGCTTCCGTTTACGTTAGTCCTCCAACCCCTCCCACGCTCCACTCTTCCCCTACACCCAGCCAATGTGCCACATCCTCCCAGCTGCTGTTTCCGGGTGAATGTCTCTGCCCCACTGAATTATCCCTCCCACTCGGTCTCAGGCTGCCTTCCACACAGCTCCAGCTGTCAGGCTGCCCTGGACCCGCTCTGCACAGCCTTCCCACATGCTTGCTGCCAGCCTAGACCAGACCTGGATCTAGGAGGACGCTGCATCCTGGTTTCTCAAGCCACAGTGAATCTGAATCCTTCAGATAAAAGACAGGCAGCCAAACCTCGACTTGACTACCAGCTACATACTTTACACCGAACGATAATACGCTTAATTCAAAGCCAGAGTCTCATCCCCAACACAAACATGACAAGCCAAAAGAAAATACTGCAATTGTGCCTTGGGGAGAGACATTTCAGGAACTTGGGTTTTGAAAAGAAATAGGTGCCTCTAACAGACCAGGGCTGAGTTCATCCAGCGCTATACTGCTCTCACCATTCGATGGTGGTCTTATCATTTTACTATCAAACAAATGTTTCTTTTGTGACTCATGCTAAGGATGCTTTTAGATAAAATATAGGAAAAATTTTAATGCAGTGGTGAATGCTGAGACTCTCGGCTGTCCCAGATAAAGTAAGGTATATGGTCGCAGCCCTGAAAACATCAGTTACACCTTCCATCTATGGTTCTGGGAACATTGAGGAAGAGGAGAAGGAAAGGGAATAAGTAGGGAAAGAGGAGGAAGGGCTAAGACATGCCATTCTCTAGACTCCACACAGCTGTTGTAATCAGTAACCAACAGCAGCTGTACTGACCTGCATGGACCTCACACTAGACCACAATCAGACTAGGAAAGGGAAGGCTCACAGGTCACACACATCTCAAATGTTGGCTATGGATAATGGATGGATTGTAGGAGAAGAATTGCTTCCTTCCTCAGCTTCCTCTGCTGAGCCCACCAGGCTCCAACACATAGGTCCAAACTCACAGTCTCACAGATGGCTCTGGATAATGTCAGTGTGTCCCAAAGTAAAATGAATGGAGAGGAACACAATGGAGATTTGTTGGAATTGTGGACCAGGATGATAGAGAGGTAGGAGGTAAGAGTGGTTAGTATTTGAGGCACACACACACACACACACACACACACACACACACACACACACACACACACGGATTTCTGTGAATGACTTGCAGCCTGCTGTCCAGCTAATCTAACAATGGTTAGCTGTGAACAGAAAGTCCAGGAATCTGGTAGTCAGTACACAAGGCTGGATGTCTCAGCTGGTCTTCAGTGTATGCTGGAATCTCAAAGTAGTAGGCTCCAATACCACTAAAGGAATGGATGTGCTAACGAGGCTAGGGCAAGCAGGCAAGGAGCAAAAGCTTCCTTCTTCCATGTTGTTAGACTTCCAGCAGAAGGTGTGGCCCAGATTAAAGTTATATCTTCCAGCCTCATGATCCTTCTCGAGGCGAGGCGTGTGTCCTCCCACCTCAAGATATGGATTAAAGGTGTTTATCTTCCTACCTCAAAGGTCGTTACTAAAAGTGGATTCACACACTTCAAACCAAGCAAAAATAATCTCACAGGTGTGCCCTCTATTTCTGTATTGTAGTTCATTCTAGAAATAGTAAATTTGACACCCAAGAGTAGTCATCACAAGTTCACCCCTTGTCAACTTGACACACAATCATGTCTCCTTACGTCATGATTAATTTCCAATTGAAGACAATAAGCAGGGCCTAAGAACAGCTAAGCATTATATAACTATCCAAACACAATCGCAAATGTGTTATATATTTAACCATGTCATAATTACACCTAACATGATATAACTTGCTCTCGTACAACTGCAAACACATTCGAAATTTAGCATAGGTTTCAATGTCTCTTTTGGAACAGGACTTTGGTATTTCAAATTTAAATATGATAACCATTGATATTCTCTTAATTGATGTTACATTACTTGATAACAAAATTGAAAGAAAACACAAATATCTGTACAAAAACAGTCTTAGGACATTTCCAATAGAAACACTGGTGTCAGCTCTAATTTTCCCTTCTGTTACTGGTCAAATGGTCTTAATGAGTATTTATAACTTTCTTTCTATACTACCCATTCTATATTTCCTCCACCCTCAGCAGGTCTTGGCTCCTTTCCTGGAAAACGGCTTATTCATTCATTCCACTTGTGTCTGTGCCCTTTATCATCCTTCCTGGATTAGGCTGTTGTTGTTTCCCATTGACTTTAATCACAGGACATGGTAGCACTTAGAGACACCCTAAAGGCTCTCCTGCACTGCAGACATAATCCCTCTAACACACATTGTGTAGAGGCAATCCAGTTTCCTGGTAATGTGGAAAATCACTCCTCTAACATGTTTAATCCTTTCTTAGCTTGTTGGTTTAAGGGCATTAGATGCTGAAAGTGACCAGTAAAGCTGAACTATGTCTGAAGCAGTTGTGCTGCCGAGTCAGAACACTGTCTGGGGACAGAGCCCAGCCAGGGCAGAACAGAACGATCCAGGAGTAAAGCTTTCTTTTCTGTCAGAGAAAGCATCTTTTGAGAAAAGCTTTGTTTCAACTGACTCCCTGAGATGAGGGAGTGTAGCCCTGAGGGGTGATTGCCTCTGGCATAAGCTCTGTCCTTGAGCACCCAGACAAGCAAACACAACCCATTGGGGGACTGGGCCAGGTGAAGGCCTGATGAGGCAAAGCACCTGTCCTAATGGGAGTTTAGAAATGGCCAAAACCTCCCTTGTTAGATTTTCAGTCTGTATGCAAACCACACAGACCCCAAAAACAGACGGACAAAAAGCCACCACTGTAGTGTCGGAAATTGTTTCTGGGGTAGAGGGGATAAACTGAGACCAACCTGGGAACTGTCAGGGAGAAAGAAACAGAAGGGACAGATTCCTCCCCAGAAAATGCATAACCTGACAAAGCTGCTAGAGTTTGAGGCAGATTCGGGAGAAAAAAAAAAGCCCCTACCTCCAAAGAAATCTAGCAGAGGTACAGAGCCGCAGACAGATACCTGAAGCTCTGCATCTGGGGGGGTGGGGGAAGGAACAAGCAAAATGAGAATAAAATCAGTGGGAGAAAATCTCTTGAAAGTAGCTATGGAAAAGCTGTTGTAAATGTTTCTGTTTTTCACTGACTAGCTAAGGCAAACACAAGCCTCGAGGAAAGTTGCTATCAGAAATGCCAGCCTCAATGCCCACTAATGAGGCAGATGCAGTTCTGATTTGGGGCCAGTGTCTGATGGAGAAACATCTGTTGAAGCCAGCTGAGGAGAGAATAGAAATCTCCCAATGTGCCATAGCTGAAAATGTAAAATGCTTGTTCAAATCTCCCGTTGCAAAAGCAAAAAAACTTTGTTCAAACCTCCCAGGCAAGAATTTGTAAGCAAGTCTGGTAAAAGAACCAGTTGACTCTCAGACCCGAAAAGAACTATGGGAAATGAAGTCCAAAAGCTAGCTTGCAATAAGGGACTGATATAAGGGAAATGCATTCTGGGAAATGTAGTATTTCAGCTAAAGATGGTGACACTGTCCAAAAACTTTTCAGCTCAAAATGAAGTTTCTTTTCAAAGCAATGCTAGAAAGCTTAATCTTACCTCTTGAGAACTCAGATCAGACAAAAAGCTACCTATAAGAGCAAACAAGCCACTTTAAAATCCTTAAAACAAGGGAAAGCAGTTTATAAACTGAACTTTTTTTTTTTAGATATGAAGGAAACTTGTGTTGAAATTTAAAAAGTTCTTTGCCTTTTGAACAAACAGCTGGCAATGAATGATTACTTTACAAATCTAATGAGACAAGGAAACGGGCATTCAAAAAGAAATGACTGCTTTATAGACTGGAAACAAACTTCAGAAAAGCTGTCTTAAAAAATAGTTGCTTCACCTGAAAGTTCCTTATAAGAAATAAATGCTAAATATCACAGCTGCTAATAACATCAAGGTTAAAGCTAATGAAGTGAAAATACTAAATCCTGAAAATGCTTTTTCTCAGAGTAAGCTAATGAAGGATATGTTTCATGAAAGAACATCTATGTTCTTGACTCCTTTGAATAGTAACAGTTTTGGTGAAAATATTGGAACTAACAACAATCAACTCAAAATGTTTCAATAAATTCAAGACTCTATTCACAAAAGAAAGTTGTCATGCTTTGTGGGCCATATTAGAGCTCACTCCAATCTTCCTGGACCTTTAGCTGAGGGTAATGCAATGGCTGACAAGCTAATAAAGAAAGTAGCATTATCCCAAGTGGAAATGGCTCAACAGTCACATGCTCTTCATCATCACAATAGCAAAAGCTTAAGAAAGCAATTCAATCTTACCAAAGAAGCAGCTCGTCAAATAGTTAAACAATCTTGGGTATGTCAAATATTTTCCTGTCCCTCACTTAGGGGTAAACCCTCAAGGTCTTCTTCCCAATCATCTATGGCAAATGGATGTTACACATATTGCAGAATTTGGCAAATTAAAATATGTACATGTGACCATTGACATTTATTCAGGATTTTTAATGGCTAGTGTACAACCTGGGGAAGCTACAAAACGTGTAATTATGCACTGCTTGAAGTGTTTTTCGTATATGGGTATACCAAAAAATTATTAAAACTGATAATGGTTCTGGATATAGTAGTAAGGCATTTCAACAATTTTGTACCCAATGGGAAATCATACATAAAACAGGTATTCCTTATAATCCTCAGGGACAAGGTATTGTAGAAAGGGCTCATAGCAGTCTTAAAATACAACTTCAAAAAATAAAAATAAAAGAGGAAGAATTTACCCTCAATCATCACATAATGCATTAAATCATGCTTTTTGTTCTGAACTTTTTGAATATGGATGTCCGTGAACAGTCTGCGCAGTAAAGATTTGGTACAGTGGCATCCAAGCGACTTTTGCTCAAGTGAAATGGAAAGATCCCTGCTCGGGATTATGGAAGGGTCTCGATCCTGTGTTAATATGGTTTTGAG